CGAAGAGATCTGCTACGACGACCTCGAATGGATGATGGAAGACCCTGTGGTGCGTGTCATGCGTTTCGTGCGTGTCGTGTTGCGGCTAACAATTGCTGTGTGCGGCAACCAGGTGGTGTGGGGCTTCGGGCACACGCACTGGTCAAGCGACAACATCATCAACTCGACGCGCGTGGTCTCCAACCAGTGCGGCTACATCACCATGGCCCCTGATGGCAAGGGCTCCAACTATTTCGACCCGGCCATGGTCGTTGACGTCCGCGGTACAGACCCCCTCGCAGTCGCTAGCCCCAACGAGTCGTCCCTGACCTATGTGTTGGCTTGGGACGGTGCAGAGTCGCTGGAGCTGATCAAGTCAGCGCCCATTAGTACGTCGTCTCGCTGCCTCTAGTGCAGTGGTATATTCCCGCACTTACTTCCCACTGGTTTCCCCCCAGCCGAGAAAGACCAAAAGAAGTGTCTCTTCATGTAGCAGACGACAGCACTTCCGCCGCAGCCAACTTCTGTGCTCATTTCTCGTCGACATTCCTCGAATGGCTTTGATTTGTGGTCATTGGCTGGTGGTAACAAACAACATCTTGAGCTGCGTGTCTTGAAGGAGCACAACATAACTAAGACAAGACGATGGAGGGCACTGCACCGTCATGCGCCAGGCCGCCCCGCCGCTTCAAGGTGGTCCTGCTGGGCAATCTGGGGTACCGTCCTGCAACAACTATGGGGGTTGGGTTGTTACAGGGGGAAAGCTCTGATTATGTTTAGAGTGGGCAAGTCGTGTCTGGTGGAGCGGGCAGACAAGGGCTACGTGCGGCATCATGGCAACCCGACCATCAACGCCTCGTTTATAGTCAAGACGGTGACGCTTTCCTCGGGCGAGCGCGTCCAGCTGGAGATATGGGACACCGGTGCTCATTGCCCCCCCCCCCACTCTGCCCTGGCAGCTCGACGTTCGTGTGTGGCTGCAGCTCCTCGTCATTGCCGCACCAGCGCGCACACGGCACTCACCTCACACATACGACCGCACTCTCTACACGTGTGCAGCGGGACAGGAAAAGTACAAATCCCTCTCGAGGCTCTACTATAGGGGCGCCCGGGGCTGCCTGCTGGTCTATGACGTGTCCAATCGCCAGTCCTTTGCCGAGTACCTACTCCATCTTCACCTTCCGCCACACTCGTGTGCGTGGGTGAAGATGTAAAAAGGATCGTGAGAGTGAAGGCTGTGTCTTGTGGCTCGTGCGACGGTGGGACAGTCTCGAACAGTGGTTGGGAGACTTTAGGAGCGTGATCGACCCTTCGTGCATCCCGTTCATCCGAGTTGTGGCTGCCAAGTGCGACCTGGCCGCCAACGCCCAACAGGTGTGTGTTGCTTCTTTCCCCACTTTTCTTACTTTGTTGCGATCACGAAGTACTAATCATGCACCAATGCTACCGCAGGTTTCCGTCACAGAAGCCGAAGCGTGGTGTGCTCAACAGAACGTACATCACACCCGCTTCCGTTCATCATAAGACACGGAAGTGGCCCATTCTCATATTCAAACCGGTATGATGGGCGCGCACATTTTTAGGTGCAGCACTGGCGCACGAGCGCAATGACAGGTGAAGGTGTCGACGCCCTGTTCAACAGGCTGGCGGAGGACCTCGCCTCTCAGCCAGAGCCGGAGACCTTTAGCCGGGTGTGCATTGTCCCGTACTCCCAGTACGTGAATCGGCCCTCACACCCGAGCTTCTTTCTTTCTTTATCTCTTTCATTCTTTCTTGTTCGTCGCCCTCAACCCTCTGCCGCCCGGCGTGCAGCGAGAAAAACGCGTGTTGCTGCTCGATCATGGCGCCGCCACCACCGAACGTGGTCTCGCGCCTCTTCGCCAGCCTGCCCGATCAGTACGCGGCCCCACTCTTTCCCTCACACCGGCAGCTTTGGA